CTCATCTGTACGACTTCTTTGACATTGCAGGCATTCAAAATTTTTGTGCTTTTTATTTTGATATCATTCCAGAGGGAATTGTTACCGATTCTCGTTCCGCTGTTGTCTGAAATAGGAAAAAGGTGAGATTTTAAAATATCTCATCTTACGACTTCGAAAAGGTAACCGTTTCCTTTTTAATTTACACAGTATTGGAATAGAATGAGACTTTTATAGCACAAATGGTTGGCATTCATACATTTAGATGAGTGCATTGTGCTGGAACTACAAGGGAACTGTTTCTAACAATAACAAACAGCTGAAACATCTGGGACACAATAAAGAATGTTTGGAGAAGACGTATTGGAAGCAAGAGGGACATTTCAACGTGGTGTAATGGCTAACAAGCTTGTCTCGCTAGAACAATTACAACTAAATAGCGAGTTCGATCATCCCCGGTTGCCTCATACTTCCGTACGCTTAGAAACTCATCATATTGCAAACAAGAGAAACCAACGTTTTAATCCATTAGGCTCTTGTCCCGCAGATGAAATAAAGAGGCCAGTTCGAAATTCAATGAAAGTTACGCGGACCGACATATTGTTCCTTTTTGTTCTGCTTTAGAAGGACAGAAAGGAAAAATGGCTAAAAGATTTTAATCTTATTTTTAGTTGCATTTTATCACCACTTCTCAGAATATGTCTCCGACTATTCAGTAAAAACAAATGAATTAAAAAAATAGTATCAAATCTTCATAATAATAATAATAATAATAATAATAATAATAATAATAATAAGAAGAAGAAGAAGAAGAAGAAGAAGAAGAAGAAATATATGAATGTCTCTGTCCTCAAGGACACATGGCCCTGTGATAGAGACGTTGGTTAGATCCAGTGACCAGACCCAATGAGTTGCGAGTTCGATACCAGGCAGTGGTGAAACAAAACTTGGAGAGTTGATTTAAAGGGAAATAACTGAGACGTCCGGAAGAGGCATGGCACGTGGGACTAGAACAAACTACCCTGCCGGACGGAATAAAGCGTTCGGTTTGAAATTCCAATCACATGAAGAAGCCCAGGGCGTACAACGATCGAAACCTTGTGAATATGGCAATGAAGATGAGGATAACAGTCCAAATAAAGCAAGTGAGCATCTTGAAGTTGAAATCTCAGAATGTGGTACATGTGGACATCAATAATTCCTTTTATATTTCAAGTCCGCGGGTTGATTGGGAAAAATTCTTACAGACTGATTGAAGTCATTTCTGGTTGCACGTGCCCTAAAGAAATACAATGCATTGTACTCACAAGTACAGCTCGCACATTACGAAGAGTTTTGTTTATGTAAAATGTGTGTGATCAGTGGAAAATTGTTGTATCTTTTTATTTATATGGCATCGAAGCTTGACAATGTCCTCGTGGATGAAGATATGACTTGAGACAACAGAGAAGTGGGTATTGTCTTCACCTTTGTCGTCATATGTATCACAACGTTTCGGCCGTCGTACGCTCCGGCCTTCTTCAAGTGCCGGAGCGTATAGCGGTCAAAACGTTGTAATAAATATGGCGACAAAAATTAGGGCAATAGTCCGAATAATGTAAATAGTGTACATAATACCTCATCTCAGTAATATAGACAGATATTGAAGGGCCGAAACGTTGTATTAAATATGGCAACAAAGATGAGGGCAATAGTCCAAATAATGTAAATAGTGTACATAATACTTCATCTCAGTAATATAGACAGATATTGAAGGGCCGAAACCTTGTAATAAATATGGCAACAAAGATAAGGACAATAGTCCAAATAATGTAAATAATGTACATAATACCTCATCTCAGTAATATTGGCAGATATTGAAGGGCCGAAACGTTGTAATAAATATTGCGACAAAGATCAGGACAATAGTCCGAATAATGTAAATAGTGTACATAATACCTCATCTCAGAAATATAGACAGATAGACAGTGGTTCTAGAGAAATATACTGAGAATCCTATGGAATGAATATGTGAGTAACATGGAAGTTTTAGGGAAAAGGTGAAAAAGACACATACTTAGAATCAGAAAGACACATAATGAGGAAAGAAGGCTTGGCAAATTTGGAACTCAGAGGTCATATTTGTGCATTGTGCACTGAGAGGCACGCAGCGAGGTTGTGTTATTGGTTGATACAACGGGGATTGGGAGAGATAGCAAAAAAAGAAAAAACGAATTCTACTTAGAACTGCAAAGGACATGAGGTTGTAAAGAGCCCACAGAAGATTTTTCCCCCAAAAATGTTGTTATTCTTAAATGTGTTTGCACGATAAGTGTTTATTCAACTATTTATTTATTTGTTTTACGACGTGTTAACTTGGACGGATTTTCCAAATGTTATATTTTAAGCTACCAACTAAAAACAAAACAGGAAACATATCTGTTCTAATTCGAAATTATAACTATACAAGATGGGCAACGATCACAAATGACAAATATTTTGAACAGATAATGAAGACAATGGCATGATAATGAGGAGAAAATTATAAAGGCAATATTAAAGTGAGATCTATGTTTAATGTTATGAAGTTGTTCTTCATTGATTTTTTTCAGCTGTTGTATTTATTCATGTGTTACTTCATATTATCCGGAATGATAAAGGTGATGATGAGATAATTTATTTCTATACTAAAAATAAATTATATTATTAATATTATTAATAAAGAAATTATATTATTAATAAAGGAATAATAAATTATACAAGAAATGAAATAATTTATATTATTTACATTATTCGGACTATTGTCCTCATCTGTGTCGCCATTTTATTACAACGTGTCGGCCTTCTTCAGGTGGTTGGAATGTCGAACTGAATCCTTTATTTCGCTCACTGGGGTAGACTGTTCTAGTTCCACGTGCCATGTCTAATGGATGTCATCAGTTATCTCCTGTTAATTCCCTTCTCCGATGGGGGACCGCTTGGGAACACCTGGTCCTGTAAGCCCCCAAAGTCCAACCCTTACCTCACAGTCGGTGGTGGGGTGTAAACGGTAGTGTCAGAGCTATGCCGCCCGGAACTTCGTTCCTGGTAGGGCCACCCAAGGCGGACAGGTCTGACACACACGCCGCCTAACAAGGGCTCTGGTGAAAATCCAAGGAGCGTCTGCATCGGCAACCGGCGGCTTCTGGTCGTTCCTGTCTATGCGTCTGTGGGAATCCCGCGGCAAGCAAGAACGTTATCCGAGTAGGCCTGGGTACCCTACTTCTGTAATTTATCCCAAGAATCTTCTTCTCATAACAGGAAGAAGCCGGCTCAATCCGCCCAGGGTGAATGCCGCATCAGTACAGTACAGTAGTAATTGCCTTCTCCAAGTTCTCCACTGCCTTAACCGGGTATTGAACTCACACTCTTTGGGTCCTGTCACCGTATCTAACTAACGCCTTCATCCACTGTGCCCTGTGTCCTTGAGGACAGATACTGAATTAATTTATTTCTATACAAGAAATATATGGCATTTATTGAACGAGCTGTCTTATGAAATTTATAAAATTTATTAAAATATTATTTAAAATTTATAAAATCTTAAAAGACTTTTTTCCGATTAATCATTCAGTTGTACGCCATGCGTGATACGCACTTAGGCGATCATGTATCTTTCGATACATGACTAACGAGGCAGATTTTCCCCCGCAGTAGGTTGCCATTTCTTTCTGCAGTTCAAGGCTATAGAACCCGGTCTGTACTGCTATTCCAGGATTCATACCTTCCCCAATGATATAATCACGTAAGTAAATGTAATGGATCTGACTGAAATTCGAACTCCGCTCTCTGATTCCTCAATCGGAGCCGCTATCCATTGTATTTTCTATTAATAAGTTTCTCAAATACACTGTTTTTTTTAACCATTTCACCCCAGGCAAGGTAATAAAACCTCTACGAAGCAATGCGTTACTAAGTGCTAAATATTAAGGAGAGAGGAGATAAAAAGATAACGAATTGAGGCTGTAGATAACGATTGGCATTGTATTTGATTTTGGGGAGATCAAAGTTGTTATTGCTTTTTCTAGCATTGATGGGAATTTCTTTAATACCTTTTTGTTTAAAGTTGTGTGGAAAGTCAACATCTTGATTATATCATATGCCCTTCAATTATATGTGATATCAATTTTAATTGTTGCTGCCGTTGGAAGTTTTCAAATTATGTGGTCTTTACTATTTTTGTAAAGGTCTTTGTGAACATATACCGCCAGGCTGTAAGAACTGATGAAAGGTTGTCTTCTCTAAGAACTAGAAATTCATCTTTGCTTGTAAATTGCCGCCCGCCAGTGTGAATCTTTGTCCACTTGAGTCAGGAAAGTAGACACAGTTCCGACTTACATTTGTATCAGAAAGCCACACATAGATCCGCGTTACACTTGCGTTAAAAGTGTAGAACCGGATGCGGTTAAAACTAATCAAAAAGGTAGATATACGTATGTCCTAATCTGCGAGTATACCTGGAAGGTGGACGCTTTTTAGAGAGTCTTAACAATCTTAAAAGTAGCCATTTTCCAAGCGTAGCTTAGATGTGGCAAAGTCGAAAGTATTGCGCACCCAGTGAGGATCGAACTTACTTTTCAGTAGTAACTGATCTAGCAAGACAAGCTTGCTAACCATTACACCACATCGAGGTGGTGATTTTCCAAGCGTAGCTTAGATGTGGCACAAGGCCAAAATTCGAGGCAACCCAGTGAGAATCGAACCCACTACTCAGTCGTAAGTGTTCTAGCAAGACAAGCTTGCTAACCGTTACACCATCTCGAGGTGTCCAACAACCTTAAGAGTAATCAGCATCTCGTAGACAGGAAGGTAGGTTATTCACCTATGTTGTGTTGACTTATGTTTTTTTTAAGATTTGTTTATGATTTTATTACTCGGACTCATTCCCATATATTGCTTTTATATATTTTCTTTATTACCTAATTTCTTCTCTGTTTTTATCCATATTCTCCGCTTTCAAGGCTCGTAGAGGTTATTCCTTTCTTTCCCAGTCTATTTCAAGAATGTTCTTTTTCTTGTCACGCTGGTCGGATTTTTCTTTCATCTTCTTACATTTAACTTCTCTCCTTTTTTTCTTTCCTTACTTTTCATTTCCCTCCTCTATTTTACTTTTTATCTTCCTTTCGTTCTTTCGCTTTCTTTCATCTTTACTTTTCAATTTTATTAACTTATCTCTTTTCTTTCCCTGTCCATTCAAGTATTTCCTCTTTTCTTTTCTTTTTTTTGCCACGCTTAACGCATTTTCTTTCATCTAACTTCTTATCTTCATTCTTTATTTTATCTACTTTTTCTTCAGTCTTTACCTTCCGTTTTATTTCTTTTCTCTTTCTTTTTCACTTCCTTTCATTCTTTTTTTTTTTTATTCTTTCAGTTTTCTTTGTAACTCTTTTCTGTTGTTTTACCTCTCTCTTTCTCTTTACTTCATCCCCCTCTCTCTTTCTCTTTACTTCATCCCCCTCTCTCTTTCTCTTTAATTCATCCCCCTCTCTCTTTACTTCATCCCCCTCTCTCTTTCTCTTTACTTCATCCCCCTCTTGTTTTCTCTATACTTCATCCCCCTCTCTCTTTCTCTTTACTTCATCCCCTCTTGTTTTTCTCTATACTTCATCCCCCTCTCTCTTTCTCTTTACTTCATCCCCTCTCTCTTTCTCTTTACTTCATCCCCCTCTTGTTTTCTATACTTCATCCCCCCTCTCTTTCTCTTTACTTCATTCCCCTCTTGTTTTCTTCATCTTCATCCCCTCTCTCTTTCTCTTTACTTCATCCCCCCTCTTGTTTTTTCTATACTTCATCCCCCCTTGTTTCTCTATACTTCATCCCCCTCTCTCTTTCTCTTTACTTCATCCCCCTCTTGTTTTCTCTATACTTCATCCCCCTCTTGTTTTCTCTATACTTCATCCCCTCTCTTTCTCTTTACTTCATCCCCTCTTGTTTTCTCTTTACTTCATCCCCCTCTTGTTTTCTCTATACTTCATCCCCCTCTCTCTTTCTCTTTACTTCATCCCCCTCTCTCTTTCTCTTTACTTCATCCCCCTCTCTCTTTCTCTTTACTTCATCCCCCTCTTGAATTCTCTATACTTCATCCCCCTCTCTTTCTCTTTACTTCATCCCCCTCTCTTTCTCTTTACTTCATCCCCTCTCTCTTTCTCTTTCTTCATCCCCTCTTGTTTTCTCTTCCTTCCTCCTTACTTTCTTTGCTTTTTGTCCCTTTTTCATTTTTACTTCCTTTTTCTTTCATTTTTCCTTCCTTGTTTTCACTCATCCCTTCCATTTTGCTTTCTTTTCTTCCTTTCTTTCTTTCCGAACTTTCCTTCTCTACACCTTTCTTTCTTTACTTTAGCTATTCTTATTTCTCTTCTTCACTTCTGTCTTTTTTTCTTCCTTCCTTTTCTTTCTATTCCTTTGCGTTTCTCTCATCTCTCCTTCTTTACTTTTCGTCTTACTGTCTTTCATTACTTCCGTATTTTCTCATCTTTTTCGCCTTATCTAATTCCATCTACTTTTCTTACTTACCTTCTAGTCTTCTTTTCTTTCTTGTTCATATTTCTTCTCTCTGTCTCATCTTCTTACTTTCTTTTCTCTTCTTTTCTTTCTCTTTTCTTTCTTTCTTTCTTTCTTTCTTTCTTTCTTTCTTTCTTTCTTCCCCCAGCATTGTTTCTTTCTTTCTTTTTATTTCTCCTTTCTTTTCCATGTCATCATCATCACCATCTTTTGTTAATTTTTTTTTTTTTACATAAATTATTAAACATAAAGCATGTGGTGGTATGGGCGTGGGACCTGTGGTTGGACTGTTAGTGTCCAAATCCTACGACTCTGGTTCTAATCTCATCAAGGAGGTGACATCTTGAAGAAGTTGGGGATGGCCTGAAAATCATGCAACAGGTTGACCCAAGTCCTAAGTATGAGTTAGCAGGATTTGATCGTAATGGTCAAATTATGCATTCTCTCCAAGAACTCTTTTCTCAGTATATGGCTGGAGTATATAGATTGGCTGGGTGGGTTTTGAAAAAATACAGGATGTATTTTAGCAGGCCTCTTCAATATGGATTACCGATCCACAGTTGTAGACATATATATATAATCTGATCTAAGCGGCCACCCATATTATTTGTTGACACTCTTTAGGGATCATTTAACAGCAGGCTCCATGTTCTCTTAACGATTCATGATACAGTTAATTAAATAATTCCAATACTTACTCGAAATACCAATTCCTCAATACTTTTTGTCAAGATTTTCAAAGGAGACCCAAAAACGCTACAATAATAATTTTACCTTCCACCATTTTGTTTTCTTTTCAGATCCCGTTCACGTATTTATTAAACTTTTTATTTTTATTTTCAGTTAATTCCAATTTTTTGTGGTTTGCTGCAAGGCTACATTCACGATTTAAAAATCTTTTCTTGTCTTAATTTAGGGCCCAGTCTCCGGTCTGAATTGTATGATCCGTTTCAATTTCAACGTTCCATAAAATTTATTTCTTTACCTCTGTGTTTGATTTTTGATTTGGACTTAAATTATTGATTTGCGTGCTTAAATCCAATTTGCATACTTCCCTGTTTATCCCCTCTCCGATACAGTCATATCTATTTTATACTCTTTGTGAGTTCATTTATGTTCTTGTTTTTGTAAGTGTTTCACTGCTTCTCTGTCATTGTAGACCTGAGATTATTATTATTATTATTATTATTATTATTCGTTTACTTCCTTTTTATCATTGTAAATTCTTTCTTCGTCTTCAACATTTTTATGCCCTTGGATCACCTTTCTTATTTCTTGTCTTCGGACCTTTTTTTCTTATTCATTAAATAATCTATTTTATCCCCTTTGGAATTTTATTTGTATTGTTGTTGTTGTTGTTGTTGTTGTTGTTCTTCTTCTTCTTCTTCTTCTTCTTCTTCTTCTTCTTCTTCTTCTTCTTCTTATTTTCTTTTCTCTTCCTCTTCAACCCATTGTTCTTCTCTCTCTCCGACAAATATTCGTACGTATGTTTCTCTTTTACTTACTATAATCTATAACATTTCCATAGAAATTTTCTTCATTTCTTGTTTTTTTTTTCCCCCTTTCTGCTCTGCCTTCCTTTACCTTTCCTTTTTCTTTCTCCTTCTTTCTCTCCTCTTCTTCATTTATACTGTTTCTATTCCCCTTTTCTTTCCTCTTCTACTTTATCACTCTACCTTCTTTTGATTTTCTTTCCGCTACTTTCTACTTTCAGTCTTTTCCTAGTCTTCAATTCAAGTCGTTTTGTTTCCTCCTCTTTTTCTTTTCCCTTTCATCTCTCTTCAATCTCTTTTTCTAATCTCCTTCTTCCTTTCTATTCTTCTTTCTTTCGACTTACATTGTACACTTTTTTCCTTTCTAATTTCTTTCCTCTTCATCCTTTTGCTTTTTTCCAGCGTTTTCTTCATTCTCTCTTTTCTTTCCATGACTTTCTCATCCCTTCTCTTTCTTTGCACTTCTCTTTTTTCTTTCCTGTTTTCTTTCTTCCTCCCCTCTTCACTTCACTTTATATATATCTCTTCTTTTTTCTTCTCTTCATTCTTCCTTTATCAATTCCTCTGTCCGAGTGTTTCATATGAGAAAATCATGTTAAGGTGATTGCATTAGGTTCTGGCCACATGACAAGAAGACATGTTTGTTCCTTATTCACATCATTTTTTGCTTTTACATTCAATTACTCCACAGTGTTCAGTTGGTTTTATTATCAACGAATATATTGTTTTCGTAAATATTTCTGCGTTTTTTTTTATTCATCCGCTTTTATTTCCTTTTATTTCCGCTTGTCCATTGCAGGACGATACGACGACTGTAATACGTTAAGCAATTTGCAAGACTACAAAACCCAGTAAAAGATAGCACGATGAATGATACGAAGGTTTCAGGAAACTGAATTTATTAAAGCGACGTACACGAATTAGGCGACTTTCCAATATGTTTCGGTATGTGCTCTAACCGAACGAGGTTTTCTTTAGAAACTCTCCAACAAGTTGTGGTTCACCACAAAAGCACGTTATCGGTCATATTTAGGGGAGGGTTTTGTATTATTTGATTTAGTTTGTTTTTTCTTAGTATGTTTTTTTATTGCATAATTTGTAAAAGATACAAAAAATGCTTCCAGAAAAAATATTGGCACTGTAACAAAATACTGAATGCAGTATTCATCGAATTCTAAACTCAACAAAGCTAAACAGACAAATACAAAACCTAGTTCTTTACGACACTTTACTCATTTACTTATATATATATATATATATATATATATATATATATATATATATAGATAGATAGATAGATAGATAGATAGATATAGATAGATATAGATATAGATAATATTAGTGGTAAATATACATACATATACAAAAAGATACCATACATGTATATTTTTTGAATAAAAATTCAAGAGGAAGAATCCAGGTAAAATTCAATGTCCAGGACAGAGTAAGGATATAATAATATATGGAATATTAACCATGGAATATTAGTGTTTATATATATTTTCATATATATATATATATATATATATATATATGTGTGTGTGTGTGCGGGCGGTACTTGTTGGAAAGTGCTCAGTATTAGTGATAGACCCTAACATTTTTTAGTTGCATTGATATGAGTTTATAACTCTAGGTTTCACGGTTTTCATTTATATATATATATATACATACATATATATATATATATATATATATATATATAGAGAGAGAGAGAGGGAGAGAGAGAGAGATACAGATAGAGAGAGATGTGAGTATGTGTACGTATGTATATACACATATGTAGATATATATTTGGGTGTGTGAACTATATGACATACATTCCACATCTTTGCAGAAGAAGGGCTTCCCTTCAACGTTCAACTGTGCAGCCATATGCATGCAGATGACTTAGCAAGCAAGCCTTTGCTCCATTCTAACATATATGGCTCAAGAAAGTCTTTTGGATTGTCTTGAAATGCCTTTTTTTTTTACTGTGCACTCTCAAATACCGCTTTAGCCCGGTAGCAGACCTGGTATTTCTGTCACAAAATTATACTGCAACTTTGCTGAGCAGACCTTAGTTACAGTTTCTGGGAGAGATCGTGTTATCTAGTGTGATCAACAATCTGAACAAAGCCAGCACTCCTAAGATCTCAACCACGATGACTTATGACTTCGTGCTAGCACAGCTATCGACGATGGCCCCCTAGTTCTCCGTTTACCCAATTTCACACACAAGGTCTGAGCCAACACGATGTATGGCTTTCAAGCATTTTCCATCCAGCCCAATCAGTCTCCTTCCTGATAAATTGAACTCGGGCCTCATGGTCAGAAAGCGAATGTTCTAACCACTCCGCCACGCGCCTGCCTGCCTGCATATATATATATATATATATATATATATATATATATATATATATATATATATATATATATATATATATATATATATATATATATATATATATATATATATATATATATATAAAAAAAGAAAGAACAGTAAGATATAAAAAGAACTGTGTAGCGAAAAAACATATTTTAAATCAATTAATTTAAATAATATATATATATATATATATATATATATATATATATATATATATGTGTGTGTGTGTGTGTGTGTGTGTGTGTGTGTGTGTGTGTGACACCACGCATACCTGGCGAGCTGAAAAAGAAATATTCATAAATATATGATTTGTTTTTACGGTTTATCAACCATTTGATAATTATTTAGGGCCGAAAAAATATTTCGGGTGTTAAGAATAATTGTTTCTTTACGTTCAAGCGATCTGGAAGAAGGAAAGAGAAAACGAAGAAGAAAGAAATAAAAAAATAATACGAAAACAGGTCATAAGCGAGCACACACACGCTCGGCTGACAGATAACAGGTGTCGAAATATCCAGGTCAAGCATCTAACCGAGATCTGGGGAAAGTGGAAGTTGTTATCAATTGGTTGCAGAAACGAAGTTTAGGGACAATGAAAAAATATTGATAAGTAACAAGTGGAAAGTGTGTCATTGGGATGATAGTAAAAGTCTAAGTGGGTGGGGAAGTGTATCTAAGGATATGAAGGCAAACCATTAATACGAAAACACAGACGGACGGCGAGAATTAGAAAAAGCCACACAAGACGATGTCGCTGAAAATTTTTTTTTTGAGATAATAAAGATTTTTATTATCAGCCCTTCAAGCGGGGGAAAATGAAATATTTTTATTTCGTTCCAAAAACGCCAAAAGGTCTGAGAAATTCTTTTCTTAGATCATATCCAATTAGCGATAAACTGCTTGACAAATACCACGTGTTAACAAGCCGAAGGTGTCATCGCAGTCGCTCATGATAAGGACGATTTAAATTTTTTTTTTTTTTTTAAGCAAGGTGTTTCTTTCCCCAGAACAAAGCCACGGATTGTCCACATCCGACTAAAGACGTCATTGGCTAAATAAGATCACATGATACCCGAAGGAGGAGGAAAGGACCTCATTGGCCGAGAGCGGTCACGTGACGCACGAGGAGAATCGGTCGACGCCCCTCAGAGGCACAGTAAGGAAGTAGGAGTGAAAGTGAGTTACCGAAAATGGAAAATCCCTAACCAGAAATAAGAAGGGTGGATACGTATTTAGAATTATCAAAAGAAAAAACCCTGGCGCCGACAGACCCACCCCAGTTTTGACTGCGTCAATAAAAGCGGGACCCCAACCGACAGAAATCAGTTTGCGCCGCGGACGGCGAGAGAGTTTGCGCCGCGGAGGGCGAGAGAGTTTGCGCCGCGGACGGCGGGCCAGGTTCGTTCGCCCCTTTGCGGACAAGAGAGGCCAGTTCGTTTGGCCTAAGTGAAGAAGTTCGTCCAACCAAAGCCGAAGAGAAGAAGTTAATTCGCGCACTGACGGCGGAGATGAGTGACCAGTAATTCACAAGCCGAAGAGAAGTTAATTCGGAGATGAGGACCGCATTGACGGCGGAGATGACCAGTGACCAGTAATTCAGAAGCCGAAGAGAAGAAGTTAATTCGCGCACCGACGGCGGAGATGAGTGACCAGTAATTCGAAGAGAAGAGTTAATTCGCGCACCGACGGCGGAGAAGCCGAAGAGAAGAAGTTAATTCGCGCACTGACGGCGGAGATGATGACCAGTAATTCAGACTCTGAAGAGCTTGAGTTGGAGTTTGAGCAGCGGACGGCGAAGAGTTTTGAGCCGTGGACGACAAGCAGAGATAAGCGCCCAGTGTTGAAACCGCGTCAAGATAGCTGACCAAGATTCACGCACACTTCTGGACACTTCTTCAACCAAGAACAAGTAGTTTGAAGAGCGACTTAGAATCAGACCACAGAAATAAGTTGTTTTCGACTTTCGTCCAAAGACACACCGAAACACAAATTTCTTAGAGAGCAGACAACTGGAAGCCTTAAAGTTGCCTAGTAAAAGCGTCGTGCCACAATCCACAGAACGGGTCGGGAAGTAGACATAGTCCTATGTACCGAGGAAATAGACATAAAAAGTTTGTTACCTTTTTCTTGATACGTTGGACCTTGTGAGTTTTTATTTTATTTCTTTTTTTTATACATAATTGTGTGTTATCACCCCCGTTGGACTCAACTTGCATTGCGGCCCCAGGCCCTGTTTGGTCTCGTCTGTCTAAGATCAATTCAAAACGTGGGTAGGCAGACCGGAGATCAGTGCAGTTACCCTGGTAACCAGGCGTTGGAAGCGGGTTGGGAACGACGAGGCTGGTATCAATCTAACCAAAGGGTTAGAACGTCACGTTGGGAGCAGCGAGGAGCGAACAGCTGACGCCGCGGCAAAGACGTCACAACTGGTGCTATCCGTGACCAGGATATCAGAGCCTGGGGAGCACGTGACGTCACAACTGGTGCCGTGACCATAGGATCAGAACCCTGGACCACGTCACGTCACAACTGGCGCCGCGACCGGGATCGAACGACATAGTCGACGCTGCGACCGGGGGACGACGTCACATATATATCCTGTTTTAATTTCTTTCTATATATCCTATTTTAATTTCTTTCTATTTTCTTTCTTCGCTTTTCTTTTTCCCCTTTTTTTTCTGTATTTTCCGCTTTTATATATATATATATATATATATATATATTCCTTATTATAAAACGCTGTGTGTGTCTGTACGTTTATATATTGGATCGGATTTCCTACATTTTTCAACCGATTTCTACAAAACTTCACAGAACTACGTAAAATTACCTTGCGGTGTTTCTGACAGCGCCAAAAATTGCAAAAACACAATTGTTTTTGCACGAAATCAATTTGAAAACGATTAAGAGGCATTAATGGAAGGGGGACAACTCATATCGAGTTATACTTATTAATATCGAGTTGTCGAGTTATACTTATTATAAAACCCAGGTTGGTTGGTTGGTTGGTTGTGTGTGTGTTCGTTTATATATGGGATCGGATATTTCCTACATTTTTCAAACGATTTCAACAAAACTTCACTTTTTTTTTGGCACGTAGTGTTTCTGATTGTCTTTACATTCAGAATGCTTTAAAAATTCCATTTACAAGACAATTGTTTATAATAAAATTCTATTCTATCGATAGACTCATAACGATTGAAAACAATGTTTTTGT